AAATTTTCTCTCTCTAGGTTTGAGAGAGAAAGTGAGGGATGATAGAAATTTTGATAGAAAATGTGTAGGATGTGTAGGGAAATATATTTTGTCAAGCGGTATGGGTGGTTTGGGGAGTGGATGTGGAGAAATAAAAAATTAGGGTTTAGGGTTTTTGTAGGTTAGGAGAAAATGTGATGGAGGAGGAAGAAGAAGAAGAAGATGAAGGAGAGGAAAGAGAAGAGAGGAGAGGAGAAAAATGGAAGAAAATGATGAGAAATATGGAGGGATGAAGATGGAAGTAAGAAAATTGAGAAGAAGAAGAAGAGAGGAAGAAGAAGAAGAAGGAGAATGGAGAATGGAGAATGGAGGAAGAAGAAGAAGAAAAAGAAGAAGGAGAAGGAGAAGGAGAAGGAGAGATTTTACCTTGAAGAGCTTGGAGGGAGGAGGGAGGCCGGCGGTGGAAACCGAGAGGGAGAGGGAGTTCGGCGGCTTCCTTACGTGAAAATGAACGTGAGATGAGGAGAGGGGGGCGGTTAGGAGATATAAGGGATTGAGAGTTTAAGTGAGCGGCATTTTGGGTATTTTTTGATTTTTTATTTAAAGAAAATTCATTTTCTTATTTAAAAAGCTCTTTCTCTCCCTCTCTTTCTAAATTTTTTTTAATTATATTGCATAAAATAAAATAAAAAATAATTTTGTTTCAAGTTGGTCTCCGCGTCGCCGCTCGTACACGTCGTCGCCTCGATTCGTGCGCCCAAAATTTAAATTTTTGCCGATCGACGAACCCCATCAATATAGGTGTCGATCTTAGCTATTTTCGTTGCTCCGGACGCATTGGCGCCGTCCATTTCACGAACGGAGGTCATCTCGGGGATTTTGAGTTTTCGGTCGACACGCGACGAGTAAGTTTTTACCCGATTTTGAGCTCTTTTGCTTTTGAAACTCAGCTTGCGCGGTCGACTTGACCCCGACAGTAGTATGAGGGTCAACAAGGACAGAAGAGGAGCACTGGGAGCATTTAAAAAGGGTATTAAAGGTGCTGCATGAGCACCAGCTGAGAGCCAACTTGAAGAAGTGCTGTTTCGCACGAGCTAGTATAGAGTACTTGGGCCATGTTGTATCAAAAGAAGGGGTGGAAATAGATCGGTCCAAAATTGAGGCAATGCTGAAATGGTCGGTGCCTAAAAATCTTACGGAGTTGAGGGAATTCCTAGGCAGGTTACTACAGAAGGTTTGTAAAGGGCTACAACAACGTAACATGGCCACTCACTAAGCAGTTGAAGAAGGACGGTTTTCTATGGGGGGAGGCAGCCACATCAGCATTTGAGAGCCTGAAGAAGGCTATGACTACGGTAGCTGTCCTAGCTTTGCCAGATTTCACTCAAATCTTCATTGTGGAGATAGATGCATCCGGGTACGGGTTGGGTGCAGTGCTTATGCAGACTTATAGGCCCATTGCCTATTTCAGCCAAGTGTTGACTGCAAGACCCAAGCTGAAGTCAATCTATGAGGGAGGCATTTCATTGTCAGGACAGATCAGCGGAGCTTGAAATACCTACTGGAACAACGGATTGTGATAGAGGAGCATCGGAGGTGGCTGTCCAAGTTGCTGGGGTATGATTTTGAGGTTCTGTGCAGGCTAGGAGTGGAGAACAAGGCGGTAGATGCCTTTTCCAAGTGTATGGGGGAGCTGCAGAAAGTGGCACTATCCATTCCTTTGATGCTAGATTTGCGAGGCCATCAAAGAGGAAAGTGCTAGGGATGAGGATTTGAGAAAGATCAAGGGAGATTTACTGAAGGAAGAGAGTAGCCACCCATGGTACTCATTGGAGGGGGTACACTGCTATATCAGGGGAGGTTTGTGATGCCCCGGACTTCGATCCACATCCTAAACTTACTCTAGGAGTTTCATGAAAGCATTGTTGGGAACCATTCAGAAGTGTAGAAGACATACAGGAGGCTAGCTTCAGAGCTTTACTGAAAGGGGATGCATAAATATGTAGAGGAGATGGTGGCCAGATGTGAGATCTATCAAAGGAACAAATAACTAGCTATATCACTACGAGGACTACTACAACTGTTGGCTCAACCGGGACGAGTATGGGAGGAGATATCCAAGGACTTCATAGATGGGCTGCCCTGTTCAGAAGGTTTCACAATGCTTTTAGTGGTGGTGGACAGATTGAGCAAGTATGCTCCTTCATCCCCCTCCGATACCCTTACAGTGCGATGATAGTGGCTTTAGCTTTCATCAGAGAGGTGGTCATATTATATGGAGTACCACAGGTGATAGTATCAAATAGAGATAAGGTGTTCATCAGCCACTTTTGGAGGGAGTTGTTCAGATTACAAAGGATAGTTCTAAAAAGAAGCACAGCTTACCACCCACATACGGATGGCCAAACGGAAGTAGTCAACATGAGCTTGGAGACTTACCTGAAATACTTTATGTCGGAGACACCCAAGCTATGGGCCAAGTGATTATCATGGGCTGAGTACTGGTACAACACATCTTTTCATTCTGCTTCTCAGATGACCACATTCAAGGTGTTGTACGGATGGGATCCTCCCCAATTGGTGCACTTTGGGAGTAGCAGTACTCCAAAGTACTTGGATGAGAGGGATAGAGTGCTAGGGGAGTTGAAGAGACATTTACTGAGAGCTCAATAGATTATGAAAAAATAAGCTGATGGGCATAGGAAGGACATCCAGTTCGAAGTGGTGGAGAGGGTGTTCTTGAAGCTCCGACCATACAGATAGAAGACAGTCGCCAACAAGAGGAATGAGAAGCTTGCTCCAAGGTACTTTGGACCTTATGAAGTGCTGGACAAGGTCGGAGCAGTAGCATATTGGCTGAAACTACCACCAACGACGACTATAAATCCGATTTTTCATGTATCTCAGTTGAGAAGATTCATTGGTGACTATACAGCCAGCCCCGAGTTACCGGCGACGCTTTTTGAGAAATTAGAGGTGGTTCTGGAACCCTTGGGGTTCACTAGAAAGAAGATGGAACTAAGAAAGTGTTAATCAAGTGAAAGAACCTTCCTGATTATGAGGTCATGTGGGAGCCATACGAGAGGGTGAAACATTAGTTTCCTTATTTTTACCTTGAGGACAAGGTGATTCTTTGGGAGGGCAGTATTGTTAGGCATGTTTATCCTAAACCAGCCCAGCCGGCCCTTAGGCCGGCTCAAGTTTACAAGAGGCAGACCCTGTCCGCCTCCCTTACTTTTGTCCACCCACATTGTGGGCGCCACTAGTCTAATTGAATTCAAATTGAAAAGGAGGGGGCAACTAGGGCTTGGAAGGAAAATTAGATTAGGAAAGTTTTGTATTAAGAGCATGAGATGTTTTGAGAGGGATTATGTTTTGATTTGTTCTCAATTATAGTTCTTTGGTGATTTGGGCTCTAGACTCTCATGTCTAGAGATTTGGGAGAGACGATCCTCCTCTCGAACGAATTGAGGATCTCTTGTATCTTATTTTTATTATTGTTTGGCTTTGATTTTCCTACTGCAATATATTATTTTGGGGCTGTTTTCACCCAGATTTAGCATTATTCTCGCTTTTTTCACCAATTGGTGATAGGTTTGCTTGTAAACTCAAGTATTACCCTTAGTGTTACTTGCGAACACAAGTATTTCCTATCATTTTCTTCCTCGCTAGCCACAAATTTTCTTTCCGAGTCTGTCCCTCCATAAAAAAATTTCCCATTAGCTGACAATCTTCCTCTTCCGCATTCACTACCTTGCTTATTCTCTTGTGAATAACTCAATTATGCCTTTTTGATGCAATGGGGATTATGTTTTTAGGTAAAATTTAGGTGATATTGTGCACAAAAATCGAACATAAATGCCCGTAATTAACATTATTAATATAGTAGAATGTATTTCAAATACCTCCAAATACCTTTCTCAGTGTAATAGATATAACTTTTGGGTCACATTGCCTCATGCACTAGACCCACACATATTTAGTGGCATGGTTAGATGGCCTACTACTACTATGCCCTCACGAGGTTGATGCAAAAACATTTCCTAAATTTACTATATATATGTGGGCTCCGAAAATTCGGCCCCGGCCTCCGCTC